TTGAAAAAATAAAAAAAAATCAAAATGACTGACTGGAGCTCTCTTTCGATCTTTTTCTTTCATCTGATAGATGCTAGTACAAGCAACCTCCTCTCCAGATTATGTCAACTATATTACCTACCTCTTCTGCACTGCACAGCCTCCTTCGCATCTCGGTATGAACGATGAAACCTACAACCTAGTCCGTTTCGCCGCAGCTGTGAACCTCAAGACCAAAATCCGCGTCGCCTATGCCACAATCCCTCAGACCTCTCTCACCTATATTCGATCAGCGACTCTGACCAGTCTACGCGACAACAATTTACAAGTCCGGAACTTCGCCGGTACGATCATCACAGAGTTGGTTCAGCAAGCTGGATTGTTGGCATGGCCGGATGTTCTGAACGAGCTGCTGGCGCTTGTCGAGAATTCGGGAAACGTACCGAGCTTCACTCAGGAGGCAGCCATGTCCGCTCTCGCCAAGGTCTGCGAAGATAATCGCAAGATCTTGGATCGCGATTACCAAGGACAGTGTCCGCTCGACGTAATCATCCCGAAGCTGCTGGAGTTCACCTCCAACCAGAGCGCCAAGGTCCGTTCGATGGCCCTCCGCACAATCCACGTCTTCCTTCCCCACCGACCCAAGGCGCTTGTCGCCTCCCTCGATTTGTTCCTGTCGCAGTTGTTCCAATTGGCCAATGATGCTAGCACAGATGTCCGCCGGACGGTGTGTCAGACCTTCGCCCAACTGGTGGATTTCGCCCCGGAGAAATTGGTCCCGCACATGGAAGGGCTGGTCAACTATATCATCATGCAACAGAACAATCAGGAGGATCCGGAGCTCGCCCTCGATGCGGCGGAGTTTTGGCTGGTTGCGGGTGAACAGGTGAAGCTGCAGCAGCCACTAGCCCCGCATATGTCCCAGATCGTGCCCGTCTTGCTGCGGAGTATGGTTTATGATGAGGACGAGGCCAACCGCTTGGCGGCAGAGGGCGAGGATGCGGAGGAAGAAGATCGCGATCAAGATCTTAGACCTCAGTTTGCGAAGTCGAAAGCCGCTCGTCTGGATACTTCTAAGCCGGACCAAGCCAACGGCAATCCCGCTCCTGAGGACGATGACGATGAGCTGAGTGAGGGTGAGATCGAGGATTCGGAGTTTGGAGACGATCCTGAGGATGAGTGGACCCTCCGCAAGTGCTCCGCTGCGGCCTTGGACGTGTTTTCCAACGTCTACCACGACCCGATCTTCGAAACCATCCTGCCCTATCTAATGGACACCCTTCGTCATGAACAGTGGACACAGCGCGAAGCTGCTGTTCTAACTTTGGGGGCCGTCGCTGATGGTTGCATGGATGCGGTCACGCCCCACCTCCCGGAGCTCGTTCCTTATCTGATCTCGTGCCTCAATGATTCTCAGCCAGTCGTTCGCCAGATCACTTGCTGGTGCTTGGGACGGTATTCCGAGTGGGCTTCCCATCTGGCCGACCCTGCGGAAAGGGCCCGCTACTTTGAGCCCATGATGGATGGCATCCTACGTCGCATGCTGGATGGGAACAAGAAGGTTCAAGAGGCAGCTGCGTCGGCTTTTGCAAGTCTTGAGGAGAAGTCCGATGCCAACCTGATCCCTTACTGTGAACCCATCCTTCAGCAGTTTGTTCAGTGTTTCGGGAAATACAAGGATCGGAACATGTACATCCTGTACGATTGTGTGCAGACCTTGGCGGAGTGCGTCATGGGTGAGTTGGCGCAACCTCAGTTGGTGAACATCTTGATGCCTGCTCTTATCGACCGCTATAACAAGATCACCGACCAGTCTCGGGAGCTTTTCCCTCTGCTCGAGTGCCTTGGGTATATTGCCGCCGCTTACGGAGATGCATTCGCCCCATTTGCGCAACCTCTTTTCCAGCGCTGCATCAAGATCATCTATGAGAACCTGCAGGAGTATATGGCCTCAGTCAGCAACCAGGGTGTCGAGGAGCCTGACAAGGATTTCTTGGTTACTAGCTTGGACCTTCTGAGCGCAATCATCCAGGCGATCGACCCGCAGAAGAGCGGCGAACTGGTGGCCAACTCCCAGCCCCGGTTCTTCGATCTCCTCTGCTTCTGTATGGAGGACCCAAACTATGAGGTCCGTCAGTCGTCGTACGCGCTGCTGGGTGATTGTGCCATCAACATCTTCCCCCAACTCGAGCCCTTCATCCCTCAGATCATGCCAACTCTGATCCAGCAACTTGATCTGGATACGATCCGAGATGACGATCGGCACACGGGATTCAGTGTGCTCAACAACGCCTGCTGGTCTTGCGGTGAGATCGCGGTCAACGAGAAGGCGGCTTTGTCGCCGTACGTCGAGAAGCTGTACCAAAGGCTCTACATCATCATCAACAACAACGAGGAGATTATTGATTCTGTGAACGAGAACGCTGCGATGGCGCTGGGTCGGCTGGGAATCTGCTGCTCGGATCAACTTGCGCCTCGTCTGGGCGAGTACGCTGGCGTCTTTTTGAAGTCGATGAACAAGATCGAATTCACCCGCGAGAAGGCGTCGGCGTTCTTGGGCTTCAACCAAGTAGTCATGAAGAACCCGCAAGCCATGGAGTCATTCCTGGGCGATTTCTTCCAGGCCATTGCGGCCTTTCCCAGCAAGTCTTTGAACCAGGATGACTACCGGGACATTCAAACATCTTTCCAGCAGGTATGTATATGAATTTTCACTACGGTCCGAGATTGCGCTAACTGGGGGTTGTAGGTTCTGCAAGGCTACAAAAATATGATACCCAACTTCGATACCTTCCTGTCGCAACTTCCGGCCCACGTTGCCCAGAGACTTCGTTCTGTATATCAGATTTAGATCTATAATTTTTCATGTTAATGTCCCATCTGAAAGTTTCAAAATATCACATGGCGAAAGGCGTATAAAATTTCCATTCTCCTTACTTTCTTCTTTTCTGTTCCGTCCCTTCCTGTTCCAAGTTCCTGGCTTTTGAACTTGAGTCGCTCGTTGTTTTCATGCCGGGGACAGGACGTACTCGCAGTTGATCTGTCTCGGATGTCTGCCATATGTGAATGTGGATGTGGAGAGGTTTAGTCTTACGGCCCATGTGTGGCGTCATGACCATCACGAGGATTCATGAGGGAGTGGCAGGATGACCTGAGTAGCCATGGTAGGGATGCGATGCGATACATGCTGGTCTGTATACACGTATGTGATCATGATGAGATGAGGATTGCATATGATGGACTTGTCACCGAGTTTGAAGTTCTTTAGTCTTCTACCTAGCCTTACATAGATTCTATTTTAGTTTTAGAAAAGTACATGATGAACAGACCTTGTCCTTCTCCCGTTCCACTATGGTTACTTCAACATTAGTCGTGGTGCGCCTTGGGATTCATCGCTCTCCATCATCCTCATCCCGAACCCAACCAGTCAACCCAACCAACCACATCAGAGCCAACTTCTGATCTTCTTCTGCATTTATCGGATACAATACATACTACATATGTAGGCAAATTAGCCTTCTCGATGATGTTGACCCTTCAGCTAAATTACTGCTTACTGCTTACTGCTTACTACTTACTACTTACTACTAGCCTAAACTGCTAGTCCTGTCACTTACACTTAGTCTACTCTAGTCTCGCGTAATTAATCTCGATTAATTGATCAACTCGGCAAACACGGAGATGACATTAATCGGGGGTGGGACTGTTTAAGGAGGGTAAGACATATGAGTAGGTGGATATGCACTAGGTACAGTACAGAACCTAGACATGGCATGTTCCGACCAGAACCGAACGAGAGAACCCACTCCGTTCACGACCAAGGTAAAGCAGTCTGATTAGTGGTCTCGGGAGAAGGATTCCCAAGTGGTTGTTTTGTGTCAGTTGTGTCAGTCCGGGTGAGTGAGATTTTTGGGGCCCCGTTCGATACTAATGTCGTGATCGGCAAGAAGCCAAGGCCAAGGCCCCTAAGGGAGGGATTCGCCACGTGCTGGCTGGCTCATGCCCATGCCCATGCCCATGCCACTGGGCTGAGGACTGGACTGTACTAACTTACTGTGCATACCCCATAGGGGAACAGAAGGAGGGTCGAGTCGAGTCGAGTCGAGTCGAGTCGAGTCGAGTCGAGGCCGTTCAGGCGGTGGGTGCATGCAGAGTTTCTAGCCTAGTGGGTTTTGAGGTAAGTGCAGTTACTGACAGGGTCAGACTAGACCATCTAGTGAGTTTCTTCTTCGAGGTCGGATCAATCTATTTCGGCGAATTCGGAGAATCTTCGATCTACAGATTCCTTTGAGTGGGGTTGTCGAGCCCGACTTTGGCAGCCTTGCTGGATGGATGGATGAAAGTGTAAAACGACTCGTCGTTTCATCCTATGCCAGATTTGCATTATTCAGTAAATAGTATTCATCATTATCATTGAAAACTCAATCATGTTGTGAGTAGGTATTGTAGACAAGTGGTTGGTGGTTTTGTTCATGTCATCGTCATCACACGTGTGGTGGTATAGTTTGTAGGTCAATCAACAAGAGGCAAAAAATGTTCCCAAGAATCCGATCCCCTGTCCAAAATCCCTTGCCTCATCGTACCCTGATTATAACACAGCCCTAACGCCGAGGGTATATCGCCAATGGATTATCACATCCCATTCCCAGGCTCCTTGTCGTCCCATCCCGCCCTAGCCCTCTGCAGGCTAGTAGGCTTCGCTCCGCTTTCAGTTGCAATCCATGCTGCACAGCCCATACCCCAGCTGTGGGAATGAGGAAGATTGTCACAGCGTTGGAGAGAGAGAAACGAAATCTCAATCACTGGCATAGCATGGAAAGCAGAATAAAGATGGGAAGAGTATAAAAGAAGAAAAGAAAGGGAAAAAAAAAAAAAAAAAAAAAAAAGGAAAAAGAGTTTCATGTCCGCTCTATTCAACCATTCGCTCCCATAACCAAATCCCGATTTATGCCGTATTTTGTTCCGTAGCACCAGGAGAGAGAAGAAAAAAATAAGAAAAAGATATGTTCACACCCCAATCGCTAGGTGCACACACTGCCATTCCATCCTGCTTCTGGAACATGGTAGGCCCCGAACACGGGGTGGGGTTCTTCGTAGAACTGCATATTCAGCCCTACGGATCCATCCACACGTGGCAGCTCCCCGCAGACCACATCATTCATGTATGGAGGCGGGAAGAGGGGCGAGTGCTGCAGCGACCCGGTATGACTGTAATCTGACAAGTCCTCGCGTGGATCGGAGAGTAACCCGGGCGACGAAGGGTAGAGAGCCTGAGAGGAAGGAGGAGCTGTCACATAGGACCCGGTGACATCGAATTGAGGACTGGCGATCGTAACGGCGGGGGGCGACTGAAGGGGCGGAGTGTAGGGGGCATAGGTGGCGGAGGCTGAGGACGGAGAAGAAGAGGAGGCGAGGCGGTAGTCGTGGGCATTGTGGTAGGGACTGGGAGGGGCAGGCGAATAGTGGTCGATTGAGGTGCGGGGAGACCATTGTAGACGGCTCTTGTATTTCGCAACGATATGACGAGGAAGGTCCATAAACGATAGCGCGAGCTGAACCTCCGGGTTAAACGGATCCGTCGCGCTTCGTGAGACGATGAGCCGGTAGATCTCCTCAATCGGGCCCAGAGACAGTGGACCTAGATAAGCCCCTCCCAAATCGGGGAACAAGCTGTCCAGAACGACTCCGACGCCAAAGAATTGCGCCAGGATGGAAAGAGAACCGACATCTGCGTCTTCTGGCCGCAGCATGGCCGGTGGAAGCCAGAACAGCCACCGGCGGAGCGGTTGCATCCGCTCAAAAGCCTGTTCGGGTGTCTGGGAGAGAAGATCTCGCTGGAAGTGTCGTACAAATTCGAGGAGCTCGCCAATCCGACGATAATGATCGTGGTTGTGCGAAGTCCGCTTCTGGATTGCCTGCAGTGCTACCATGACTTGGTCGAGGCTAGCCAGATCCTCGTCCTGGAACTGGTAGCCAGACATGACTGGCGTGTTCGTGCAGCCCAGGTATCTCTGGTTCTCCAAATACATAGCCAGCTCTGACTCATGTTTCCAACTGGGATGCATCGAGTTCAAGACCTTTTCTCCCTGTTAGTATTTCGTTCGCTACCACACGGATTAGGTGACATACTGTAGTCAGACCCTGCTGCAATGAGGCCCAACTCTGCCATTCCGAAGCCTGCCAGGACAGGAGAATGGAGGAAGCAAGGATCGCATCACAGTTGTCTTGGGAGAATGTGCCGATCGCCTTATGGAGTCTTTGGATGGCAATCCCTCGATGGTGATATGCCAGCTGTTTGGTCTCTTGATTGCGAGTGATCCATGCCAAGTGAGAAGCTGCCATGGTCAAGATGGAGCTCATGACGAAGTCATTGGAGAGGGCAATGGTGAGGAAGCTAGCGCGCAGACAGTATAAGCCAAATGTTCGCGGTAGCTTATTGCAATTGCAAAAGACACTTACGTTGGCATCTTTTGAGCCCAAATGGTGCAGTTACCGAGCCCACGACGGTGGAGATCGATGGAGAGGCCGATGATGTGGTGGACCAGCCGCAGGTCGGTCCGTGATAGCTTACTCCAGCTATTGCGAGGGAAGTGCATCAACTCGGGGAATGGAGGCACGCCCGTGACGTGCCAGTTCTTGATCTCTGCCTCGATTTCTGCTGACATGAGGAGGTCGGGAACGTTGCGGATCGAGGAGGCCTCCTCGTGCACCGCCGCGACATCCATATAGTCACAGCGACAGTTGTGCTTGGTGCAGTTGCGGCTACTTCGGGGTCAGCAGTCGACATATCATCAGAAACAGAGTGATTGTACCATTGAGGAAAGGTTTCATCGCAGCGAATGTGACGTCTCTTGCATGTCTTGCAACCAAAACGAGACTTGGTGTGGCTCTTGCGAGGCGGACCACCACCAGGACCAGCCATGTTGTCCGACTACTCGGGGTAGCTGTGTTAAAAAGTGTTGTGAGATCTTCGAACACGATCTGTGCCACCAAGCAACAGGCACAGAGCACAGGAAGGTGGTCGTTGAAGGGTGAATCTGGATGGTGGAGAGCGAGCGTGGGGGACAGGAGGAAGATCTGGAGTAGGTAAACGAAAGGTGGTGGATGATGAAGAGGGTCAGGATGCGGAGATGGGCCAGTCGCGGGATAGTATGATCTAATATATCCAAGGGAAATAATAAGACCACACAAAAGTGACTATCAGATCATGGGCGCCCACGATAGGTCGAAGTAATGCAGAGTCCAAAAATAACCTCGAGCCGCAGCCCCAGGCGAAGATGAACAGACAGAATACACGTGGGAAATACGAGAAAACGGTGCAGTTGAGAGTGTCAGTGGCCGGCCTTATATTTTGGACTCGGTCTTCTTCTTGATTGCAATCGCTTGGCTACCCTTGGCCCTAAACCACTCTCGGAGACACAAGTAGTGGACAAGGAGGAGGGTGTGTGTGAGAGAGAGAGGAAGAGGTGAGGGGGGGGGTGTAGGGATATGAAATAGACGAATGAAGCTGGAGACAGACAGACTGGGGGGGTGTGAGAGCAAAAAGATGGAGGAATACACTGAGTATAAAAAGACGCAGGATAACAGAACACAGACAGACAGGCCCAGCACCGGCCGGCCGGTAAGAAAGGATGCCAGCCACTTTCAGCTGCGGGTCGAGGGACCGTTACGGTGGATTGGCATCGAGGTAATTTTGGGTTGATCAGAATTAAAAATCATGGGTCAGTCCGATAATCTTAACATGTACTCCATAAATAATAATGATTAATTAGATAGGAAAGGAATGGAAATCCAAATGAAACTCGAGACAAAAAATAATTAGAATAATAAAATAAGCTGAAGAGCCTAGTCTACGGGGAATAGTCTAGTATAGCGAACCAGAGAATGACAAAACCAAAATCAGTAAATAACACAGCTAGCGGGCAGTGTACTGGCAGTCTGTCCATACGGCCGTGACGAAGCACCAATCGAAAAAAGAAACCATCATCATCATAATAATAATAATAAATTCTCCATCCTTAAAATAAAACCAATTAAGCTAAGAACGGGTCGAATCTCTGGGGATAGACTAGGAGCCAAGATGTTGAGCGCCACGGTACGACCGGTCAGATGCTGATCTCCAGCAGAACCACAGTTCCAGTCATGGTGAACAATGCAGGACTAGAACAGGCGATAAGAAAATAAATCAATGGTAATAGAGAAAGGGAAAAAAAAAAAAGTAGACACTGCTCCTGTGGCATGAAGGACCATACACAGCCCAATAGTTAGACCAAATCGAACTCGAGGTTCCGCAGAAGTCAGCAGCAACAACAAAAACAATAATAAGCAAAGAAAGACCATTGTCTGGTCTATAGGTTCGAGCCCTGTCTCGACTGCTCCAATGCTCAGGATGAATGGAACCATTCAGCGATTACAGCAGATGTGGCCGTCATGACGATAGAAGATGACTCCTGGTTAGCCTGTGATTACTTATGTAGTCGAGTTAGTGTATAGATTAGTAGCTAATTGACTAGGGAGTTGATTAGGTATGATAGTGTGCAGATTTCGCATCTGATACTGCTCAGCGCATGGGTTCTGATCTCTAATCACTTGCTAAGCACAAGAATCACGACTAGAGGGGACTTTGAGCCTCCTCGACTGGATCGGGATTAGTTTGATTGTGACTAGGCCAAAACTAGCCCCGGCTGGTGAGGTCCATCCATGATCCATTCAGGATCCATCCAGAATGAGGAATCCACTTTCTGCTTCGGGATAGTCTGGAAAATCATCATTGGTCGCTACGATAGCCCCCAGTCGCTCAGCCCGCCAAAAGGCCAATGAAGACGGAGGGCACCGGGGGAGCCACATGGCAGCATCACCGCCAGGTGCTTGGGCCATCAAGGTTGAAACACCCGAAGCAGATTTCATTTTTGCCTCCCTGTCAGAAGAAGGCCAGCGAATATGTGTGTCAGCAAAAATAAGTTGAATAACTAACTAAATAACTGACTACTAATCAACTAACCTCCCTTTCCGCAGGAGGAATGCTGGACCCGATTGATGAAGAGATAGCGACGGAACGAATAAGAAGAGAGAAAGAAAACGTAGGTGAAAAGACTAAATGAAATGAGAATCAAAAATAAGAAATAAGAAATAACTCCTGTGGTACGTAGGAGGCTATCTGTTTCAACCACAAGAGGTGATGCATCCAAATCAAACCCGCTGGACCTCCCGCGCTGTCGGACAAAGCAGCAGGTCGGGTCTAAGCCTCCCAGACAATCGGGAATTATTCAAGGTGAACCCCGGATGCCATTCCAATTCCCCGTCACCTTCTTCAAACCTAAAAATGCTGTCTCTTTTAATGTCTATCTACTCCGTACATTCTATCTCCCCCTTAGACTCCGTATCAGAATAGCATTCACAGTAAGGGAACCCAATTACCCCTTGAGCCGGAATCAGACCATCGAAGCGAAGTGCCACAGCGAATCTAGCCCCGCGGGTCTTAGGGCGGTTTGTGGTTTGGTGGTTTGGTTGTGTGGTTTGTGGTGGTGATGGTGGTGGCGGTAGGGGGGTTGTCACCGACGGACAAGCCTCCTCTAAACTCTCTCTCGCCCCAAAGGGCGAGTAATGGTGGGCTCCAAAAAGTATGGTAGGTTGGCACGCCTCCTTCTCCTTCACCCGTAGGAGGGCTTAGAGACGAGAGACAGAGAGGGAAAAGTCTGGACGGGGTCTGCGGATTCCTCAACCCAAACTCTGGCGGGAACGTAAACATGGTTCCGCGTTGCTGGCTCGCTGTCTCTTACCGAAACCTCAGGCTCGACAATGGTCGGGATAGCTTTCCCCGTCTTACGAGTTGGGGCAATCTGCTACTTTGGTACGGACGAGTACTATACCGTAGGTAGTGTAGTCTCTATACTAAGTATGTTCTGTATGTGCTGGACATCATATGTAATTATGTACAAACCTCGAAGCTGAGGGATCTTGGTTCGGGTCCGGGGACCAGGCGAGTCCCCTTAACTACCAGATCCATGACACCCTCATTGACCTGCTGAAAGCTATGGGCATGGACCAGCCCATAACAAGGCAAAGAGTCCAGACCCCCCGAAGCTCCGATCTATAGTGGCGTTGACTTCTGCTGGACAAAAGGAGTTCCCGTGAGCGTTCCCCTGGGCAAGAACCATATCAATGATGACTCGGTCACGCTGTCAGGGTCATCACCTCGCCGGATCGGATGAGTTTAGACGAGAGTGGACACCGATCAGCTTCGCCTGTCGGCAGTGAGTCTAATTTTGATTGCTATAGACTCATGGAGATTTAGGGATGAACGGGTTTAAGCTCCTTTGGCTAGTGAGGAACTTTATTATCTTCAAGACCCCGCTTTTTCCAAACTGCCACAGCCGTGTTCCCTCTTCGCAGGGCCGATCCCAATGGGCGGACCACCCAGTCAACGTTTGGGACGGGCACTGATCCTTGTCCTCCTTGGCTGGACAGGCCCATGATGGTCGTGCTGGGAACTGGGAAGAGAAGACTGGAGGGCAAGCGAACCCCTCCAGATGACTTTGCAATCGATGACGGTTACCTTGTAGCTGGTCGGGAATTAGAACCACCACCTTAACTCTTGTATATGAGTCTTCTATGGAGTATAGGTAACATACTAGTACCAACTTTGCCAGACGGAAAAGGTGGAGAATGATGCTCACTCACGGGGCCAAAGAAATCCATTGCTATAATAAGCGACCGAGTGATGAAGATGGATTTACTTACTTGGTTAATCGCCTTTGGACCTTCCTTCCCCGCCCTCAGTAGTAATCAAAGTGGTTAACTCCTTCCCATCCGTCCCTCGTGGAATTGTCAACTTTTGTCGATGGCCGACTTCCCCTCCCCGCCGCCGAGCACACTATACACTGCATTCACCTCCCCTGCTGCCCTCTGCTGCCCACGGAGGGTCGCACGCCGACACCCCTATAATGAATAGAAAGAGCTATGCATTTGCCTTGCGAGGCGGACCGAGCGCACTTCTGGTTGCTCTGTTCATGGTGCCTGAGAATAACCCTCCTTCTCGCTTCCACTGATCAAAAGAGCAGTGAGGCCAAGACACGCCTCAATGGCCCATGTCACAACCTTAATGTGCACTAAAGAGACCACCACCAGGCTTACCAGCAGTTGCCCTGCCTCGTAGTACGCCAACGCGCTGTAAGGTCTTCCTTCCCCCCTCCCTTTCCCCCTGATCTGTTCTGATCGTTATGAGTGTGGGCAATGTGGTCTAGTGCGGACTACGCGGACCCTCTCTTTCTTCGCCTCCACGGGGTGCACATTAGACCATTACTCATGGTTCGGTCCAGCGACACCGGTTTCATCCGAATTTCTCCAGAGCATGGGCCGATTACTCTACGTTTGGAGCATTCCACTCCATGACGGGACATCATCGGCTTTCTCTCTCTCTTCAAAAACCACAACAGCAATGAACTGGTAGCCGCCGCCCCTCTTAGCCTTAGCGGCATCAATGGCAAGTCTCCTATTACCAAACTGAATGGGGTCATCGCAGCCGAGCACTGCGCCATTGCACACACCACACACCAAACCACAAGCAGATATGCAGGTGGCGCATGGTGGATGGGTACTAGGTAGTCACTCTTCTCTCTTGGTTTCTCCTTACCGAGCACAATTGTCTACAACAATTAGTCTACTAAGAAGACCCTTCAGACTTTCGGCCGGTCAGCCGTTACAAGTGTGCTTAGATGATTCTGCCACATGGCCATGGAGGAAGACTTCATACTCGCGCCAAGAGAATATCTCTCTTCTATAGACAGCTGAGCTTGTCTTGGAATTAAGCCATGGTCACATTGTTTTGGTTCATCGACCGAAGAGATAACGATACCATGATGCACTAATAGATAGACATCTCTCAATTTTGGATCTCTCTGATTTGCGACCCGCCCCCTTGAT